ATCATCGTCATCAGCGTTGTCATGCAACGCCTTCGTCATCGTCATCATCAGCACCGTCATGCAACGCCTTCGTCATCGTCATCAGCGTTGTCATGCAACGGCTTCGTCATCGTCATCATCAGCACCGTCATGCAACGGCTTCGTCATCGTCATCAGCACCGTCATGCAACGGCTTCGTCATCGTCATCAGCGTTGTCATGCAACGGCTTCATCATCGTCATCAGCGTTGTCATGCAACGGCTTCATCGTCATCGTCATCAGTGCTGTCATGCAACGGCTTCATCGTCATCGTCATCAGTGCTGTCATGCAACGCCTTCGTCATTGTCCTCAGTGCTGTTCTTCCTCATCTTCGACAACAGGAATAACCAGGTATCTCGACACACGCAGAACGACACCCCAGTCTTCCCCCCACTGACACTACAGAGGCTTACTGCTGGAATCAAGTACTGTTCTTTTGGGGTGACTGGATCTCGCCGTCTAAGCAAAGCAGAGTTAGGTCTGTAATCCAGTCCACCACAACAAATTATCTCACCTATCCCATCACAGCTCATCTGCCCTGTCTACGTGTAAAAGGCTCCACGCAGAAGCGCTGTGTCTGACTGAAGGCTGCAGCTCTGTGCTGCCCTCCAGTGCTCACATTCTGAAAGTGCGCCTGCAGAGGGAAAACGAGCAGCACCTGGTTGATGATTTTCAGACCTGAGAGAACTGCAGTTATGATACATCACTGTTTGTCTCACGGTGTGTGGGAAATTTAAATAAAGCGCTGTTCTGATCTAAACTGCCACAAGCATCTGTGTCAAGCATCTGCCTTAAACACAGAGATTCAAACTTAAAACAATAATTCAGAATCACCCACTAGGAATAACCTCATTCATTCTCTTCAACAATGAATTTATTTTCACATGAGCAGAAGATTTCAATAGAAAGGTCTTCCTCAAGTCATTTTTCATTTCTGTAATAGAGTAATAGGAGGGTGGAACAAGCTTTCCAGCTGATACCCAGGTGGTTGAAGCCGACACC